TAGGGAGACCCTGTCTCAAAAAGACAAAAAAACAAAACAAAACAAACCATACATGGAATTGGTAACTACTAGAATGTAGTTGATAGTGGTGATTTGTCTAAGACTGAGATAATACCTTCGGCTTATAAATCTGCACAGGGGTGAAACTGACTTCTTAAATAAAGGACAACTGAGGTAAGAAATGTCAGCCACTTATCAATCTGATCACTAACATTTACAAAGGGTGATTCATCTGAAAGTCTCAGAATACTATCATAATCTTAGCTATTACCTGTGGGCTACTTGCTACTTGACAGACGCTTGGAAATAAAAGTTTAATAACACATCTCACTCACCCGTGTCTTGACTACTCTTACATCCTTAATATCTGCAGCAAAGTTACTATTTTTAATTTTAGAAAAGGTCAGACTCAAACACAAAGAAATTACACGATTTGCCCACGATCATACAATTAGTATAATGTAACACAAAGCATTTTCTCTTTATTTAAAAGATTTTTTATCAAATTCAACGAACAGGCCCCTAACCCCTTCCCTCGCTGTCTCCCCTGCACTCAGTAGGATTTTCACTGGGTGATTTCGGTAACTCCGAGGAAGGGGCCTCATGAATGTTATTTAAAGGCCTGCGGGGCCCTACCACACCGCCTGGGGTCTGTGAGGAAGCAGAGAGACTGCATCGCAGACCTGTCCCTGCGTGGAGGCGTGAAGGTCACTCCGGAGTGAAGGGCACAGCCCGTGACCCCCACCCCATCCTCTCTGGAGGACAAAACCCCGAGTTTGGCGGGGGACTGAAAGACACGCCGCCTTCCGACGTCTTCTTGGGTTCTCCCAATGCAGGCCGAGCAAAATCAAGGGCTTTCGGTTGAAGCACGTGATGAAGAAATGCAGCAAGAAGAGAAGAAAAATCAAGACACGGAGGGTGGGCCGCTGAGAGAGCGGCCGGAGAGGCCGCAGGAAGGAGCCCGCCGCGCCAGGCTGAGCATCTTCCCACCTGCGCCCGCAACGCGGGACTGGAGGCTGCTCTGCGCCATCCTGGCCCGGGCACTTCCAGGGAAGACGGCACTGTGCAGAGAGGCACGTCCTGTGAAGAGATGCCCCAGGAGCGCCAGGGAGGGTAGCGGGCCACCAGGAGCAGTAATAAATGAGACACGGAGGAGGCTGAGGCAGGATTGTTGAGAGTTTGAGACCAGCCTGGGCTACAAAGTGAGCTCAAGGCCAGCCTGAACTGATAACTAGACCCTATCTCAAAAAGACAAGAAAAAAAAAAGATGGTCTTCATCACATCCACCCCATTCGGGTGGGAGGAAGGAAACACAGTTTCTCCTTACTCCCCTAAGTTCATACTTGGGACAGAGCCGAAAAGTGTAACACAAGGCAGACTAGGCAGAGAAGAACACTCAGGTCCGTTAACACTGCAGTGCCTACCACACAGGAGGAGCTCAGACCCACGGCTCAGAGCTCTGCCCTGCAGAGCACCGGCACCGAAGAACAATCCCTCAGTACATCTGCGACAAGACACAAACTGCCGTCTCCGCGTGCAGAGGAGACTGCGGGCAGGTGGCCTGAGGAGTGACCTAACAGAGAGGCCTGCTTGCGGGCTCCCCTGGGGCCACTGGCCCTGCTGCCAGGGATGACGTCTGCCTTCTGGTAGAGACAGGAGGGGACCCCTTTACCAGCTTGTATTCTGCTTGTAGAAAAACAGAGACAATCCAGAGAGCTTTCCTGCTCAAAACTGTTTGCGGCAAAGAGGCATACTGGGGGTGACATACTCAGGTTTCCTACAGCGGCAGCCTTAGAGGGCACAGGTTTGGGGCGTAGTTACAAGAGCGGAGGAGTCGCCGCCATATTAGCAAGAGTGAAAGCTTTGTGTGAGGCTCAAGAGAGTTCAGGGTTGGTTCTGACCAAGGTGTGGGCCAGCCTCGCCTCACGCAAGCACTGTGCCGAAATTCCTCCTCCTGGGTCCACATCGCCCCATTCCCCCTTCATCCTTAGTTCTTCCTTGTCTCTGTCATTTTCATGGTGCTGTAGTCTAAGCCCTCACTCCTTTGCTAGTTGGGACCACCCAAAAAACTCAGCCTCCATCCTGCACTATCCCCAGCCCTTAGCCATAGTGCACGTAGGGTGCCCCATCTAAAGTCATAT